TGCTCCAGAAATGCCATGTGCTATGGGGGGGATCTCTCCTGGGCAGGGATTGCTCAGGGGGGCAGAGGGAGCTGCCCTCCACTGCTCCCAGCCTGGGTAGCCGAGGAGAGAGCTCAGTGGGAAGCAGGAATGCTGCTGGCAGTGCCCTGCGGAGATCTGAAAAGGTCAGCTCCTTCCTGCCACTCCAGAGAGATGAGTGGAGGGATTGTGCTGTGATTATAAGGTGGGAGCTGAGGTTTGGGGTGGGCTGAGATGGAGATGCAGCTGAGCAGCTCCTGGGCTCCCAGCTGTGGGCAGGCTCAGCACGTCCCTCACCACCCTGGAAGCTGCTGGGGCTGGGGTGTTAGAGAAAATCTTGCCCTGCAGGTGAATTAAAACTCAAAGGCTGTTGCAGGGCCTCTAACCAGATCAGAGGGATCAAGTTCTTAATTCTCTCAGTCGCATCCTGTGAAGGCAGCAGCCTTTCAGAGCGTGCTGCTCCCTTCCCAGGCTGCCAATCCCAGCAGCTGGATTGCCAAGGGTGGGCTCTGCCTGCTCCACGAGGTTCCTGGCATGGTGAGGGTCCAGCAGTGCCTCCAACAGCAGGTTGGGGTCAGGAGATGTGGGAGCCAGGGGTCACCCCAGACTGCCAGCCTGGGTGCTGAGGGTTTAACCATACAGACCTGGGCTGGTACCAGCTGGAATCCTGGGCACAGCAGTGGCCCTGGTGCTGTTCAGTTCCCCCACAGAGCTGAGGAAACTCAGCCAGGACAGAGTGCAATAGTCCTTTCTTACAGAGAGCAATCACCGAGGACTCAGAAATCTCGCAAAGGGACAATTCCCCAGTGCATTTTTAATCCAAGGCTGTAGAGGCAAAGTTTTCTTGGCTTGTGACACACAAACCTCTCCCCCAGAAGTGGAATCATTCATTTGGATGGGAACAGGAGCTGTGTCCTCACCAGCAACCAGGACCCATCCTCTGGCCTAAGACCACGTGCCCAATCTGATCAAGTCCATATTATTAATTACAGAACAGCAGCCACACCAAACTACACCTTAGGAACGTCCCTGACCCATGAAAGCTCCCAGATTTGCCTCGGGGTTGTTGTCCCCTTGGACACTGAAATCCAGAACCTGGAAATGCCCCTTTGCTTTTGGTTTGCTCCCAGCCCCAACACAGCCCCAGCATGGACACCAGCAAAGTCCTGGAGAGGTTATTTCTCCTTCCCTGGGTCTCTTCCAAGCCCACTCAGCACAGAAAGAGGCCCCCAGCCCTCTGAGACCCCCAGAGGGAGGGTGTGGCCAGCTCATTCAGAAAGGTGGCTGTAAAATCTTAATTATCTCCATTAGCTGCCAGCCTGCTCTGAGTTGCAGTCCCAGGGATGCCAGGAGGTTTCCTAGTAACAGCATGCAATCAGCCAAAAAAAAAAGGGAATTATTTATCAGAGAGTTCCTTGCCATGCAGGAGGAGAGGATGGAGGAGGAAGGATGTCCCAGGAGCTCTGCAGGGAGCAGCTGCAGTCTCCAGCACCTCTGTGGAGGATGGCAGGTGGTGGTGCTCCTGGAAACCCTTCCTTTGGGCAAAAAACAGCCACCAAAAAAATATTCCTGGGTGGGAAAAGCCAGGGTGTCACACAAGAGCCAGGCTGAGCCCTTGCCCTGAGCTAAAAGGAACACTTCAAGCCCAACGTTGGCTGTATATACCTGGCCATATTTCCTGGGAAAAGCCCTTTTTGGAGTTTTTCACCATTTTCCCATCCCAGCTTTGGGACGAGCAAGGGAAGGGACTGATCTTTAGAAACCTCGAGATTTGCCATGTGCTACGAGGTGAGGTGAAATTTGCCTCCTTGTTCATGATTCCATCCCAGTTCTGGCAGGGAAGGAAAGGATTTAGCACCAGAGCTTGATTCCTGAGGGGTTTCCTCACATCCTCAAAACGCCAGCCTGGCCCAGTTCAGAGCTACTGCCTCAGAAGAAGAAAGGCTGACTGCTTTGTGTGCTTCCTCTCACCTGGAATTCCCAGGAATTCCCTGGAATTCTGTTTCTGCAGAACACCTTACGCACCTTATCCAGAGAGCTGTACTTAGAGCCTGTGAGTTCTGGTCTTCTCATGTCCAGAAATTAATTCCCAGAATGCTCCATGATTTTTCTAGGGTCTAAAGATGGGGCTGACATCTAGAGCTCTCCAAATCCTCCTTTGTCCCCTTTTTAATGTGGGTATAAATCCTGGAGACGCCTGAGGGTGGGCAGAGATCAGACACCAGGAGTTTTTTGGTAGGTGACAGGCAGCATCCCCACAATTCCACCACAGAGCTCCATTAGAGCACTCCCAACCAGCCTCATGGATGTAAATACATTTAATTTCACTAAACAGCCCCTAAAATTTCATTTCCCCAGCTGCTGGTTATTCTCCTTCCCAAACACTGCTGTTATGTGCAGAAGCTTGGAGCAAGTCTGACCTACAGAAACTGAGGCAAAGAAGGGCATTCAACCTTTTCCATAATCAGCCTTTGTGAGGCTGTCCCCCCATCCAACAACACACACACATTTTCCCTGAAATGTGCTGTTAAAACGTTTCCAAACCCCCTTTTTTTGTCACTCTCAGCATCCCTGGCCACTCTCTGCTCCAGCTGGTCCTCAGTCCTCCAGCTTTCATCCCTAAGTACCCCAGGCTTGCATTTGCACTCCTCTTTCATTTCCCCTCCTTATTTCCATTTCTTGTATGCTCCCTTTTAACAGCTCAGCTCACTAAGAAGTGTCTTAATTAGCCAAGGAGGCTTTGTGCTTAAATTCCTGATTTTCATGAGCAAAGGCATGGTTTGTTCCCAAGCTCTGAATGAGTTTTCTTTAAAAATAAATCAGCCAGCTGTCCTGGACACCTTCTTCCCTTCATAACAACCTCAGAGTTCCCCAAAAAGCTGAAGTCAACTCCCCTGAAATCCAAAGTCCTCAGCCTAGAGCTTCTCAAGCCTCTCTCCAGGTGCAAGTCCAGTTATTTCACAGCTCTGAGAGCCCCACCCTGACCACAGCTGTGCTCTGCTCCTTCTCCTTTAGGAACAGCAGGTCAGACTCTGGTGGATGTGGACAGGAACTGACCAAGGGCTCTGTCCATCTACTCTGCCCCTGTGATGTCCAGCTTGGAGTACCGAATCCACCCCTGGAGGCTCAGCACAAGGACATGGAATCACTGGAGCAGGTCCAGAGGAGGCCACAGAGATGCTCCAAGGGCTGGACCTGGCCCTGGAGCCAGGCTGGGAGAGCTGGGGGTGCTCACCTGGAGAAGAGAAGGATCCAGGGAGAGCTCAGAGCCCCTTCCAGGGCCTAAAGGGGCTTATGAAGAAGAGGATGATCAACATTCTACATGGGCAGAGAGTAACAGGACAAGGGAAATAGTTTTAAATTGGAAGAGGGAATATTTAGATTAGATATTAGGAAGAAATTTTTCAGTGTGAGGTTGGTGAGGCCCTAGCACAGGGTGCCCAGAGAAGCTGTGGCTGCCCCTGGATCCCTGGAAGTGTCCAAGGCCAGGCTGGACAGGGCTTGGAGCAACCTGGGATAGGGGAAGGTGTCCCTGTGCATGGCAGGGGTGGAATAGGATGAACTTTAAGGTCCCTTCCAACCCAAACCTGTAGTTCTGCATTTATCCTTCCCTGGAGATTTTTAAAAGCCCCCTGAGTAAGCTGCTCTAGGGGAACCTCGGACCTGGTGACCTCCAGTGTCCCAACCTAAACCACTCCGTGACTCTGAACCGAGCCAAGCTCTCGCCCTTGCCAGAGGTTCCTCTCCAATCCTCCAGCCATGGAGGGGACATTTCCAGGCTCCCCCTGCACACACACCCGAGCACCCCGTGTTTGTGTAAAGGACACAAGGACACGCTTTATTCCCCGCATCATCTCAAACCCGGCAGGAACACGGCTTTCAATGAGCTCGGGCCGGGCAGATCCAAGAGGTGCCAAGGCAGCTCGGCCTCCCAGCTCCTTTCTTTCCCATCACATCCCCGTGGAGTGTTTGCTCTGCTCCCCCCTGGGACTCTTTGTTCCCCTTTCACCGCCCCGTGGCCGCGGGGGTTTGATCACCTGCAGCTTTTTAATCCCAATGTGCAGCTCCCCTTCCATCTCCCGGACAGCAAAGACAGAAAGGTCCCTTTTGAGCTTCTCCCCGTTTTGTCTGCGGGCCCTCAGTACCCCTGAGAGCCGCTCTGCCCCAGCCCCTGGAGCATCCTCCAGCACAAAGCCCTCTTTGTGCCGGCCTGGGCTGCAGCCAGCCCGGGCTGCAGGCTCAGAATTATCTTTAGGCAGAGCCAGCTTTACAGGCTCCAGCAGGACCACTCGAACACCGAGTGGATCATGCCAGGCATCCCAGATCCTCCTGCAGCACTCAAAAAATTTCCTGTCCCAGCCCCCACTGCCAAGAATTGCCCTTTTTCCCCCAAGTTTTCACTCGAAGATGCTGAGGGGACGATGCTCCTGCAGCTGTGCTCATCTGCCATCGCTTTGGCACCGGCCAGAGGGTTTGGGGCTGCTTGGACAGGATTTGGGGAGTTCTTGCCAGCTCAGGATTCCTCGGGGGCTCACGCTGGTCTCCCGGAGTGATTGCCAAGGGGAGCAGGGGGAATGGCAGGAATCTCTGCCAGTCTGGGATGGAAAGGTTCAATTCACCCTGCCCAGGTACCTGGAGGGCTCCACACACGGCAGGGGCTGATTCCAGCAGGGAGGGAAATGGGGGGGCTCAAGGGCTGCTTTTAAAACGGTTTTCATGTGTGGAGTGGGCCTGGTGAGCGGGATCAGAGAGGATCTGGGGGGACTCCCTCTAGCCTGGCTTTCCTTGGAAAGGAAAATTCCCCTTTTCCCATTGATTTATCCTCAGCAGGCTGCACTTTCAGATTTCAGGCAAGGCACAGACTGGATTCCAGGCTGGTTCAGGACAGGATGCTCTGTGAGACCCAGAGGGAAAAAATGCTGCTTCACTGCCCCAAGAACACCCTTAACCCCAAAGGAGGGCACGCCTGACTGTTATTATTTATAGGGTTTTCCCTCAGGGGAACACCCTGATCTGTAATTGCCAGGTGGTTGTTGAAAAGATTTCTGCAGTCACAGCCTGATATTTTTTTTTCCCCCCTGTACTGTTTGCAGGTGGAAATAATCTCCTTAGGGGCATCAGTCCAGGGTATTTACTCATCTTTGGGACAAGCCTGAATCCTCAGGGCATATCCCTTGCCTGGTTTCTTCAGAAATTACCTGGGAATAGGAAAAGGAGCGAAAGTGTCTCTTACAGGTAGGAGGGAAACCTGAATCCTCTGTTCCCTGGCCAGCTCTGCCCAGAGGGAAAGAGAAGTGCAAAGTTTCTCCCTCCAAAATCCAGGAGAGCAAAAAACGAGGGCTTGAGGGATGTGCCAGCAGCAGACAAAGGCTTTCTGAGCAGGGGAGGGAGCGAGGAGCTGGCTCCGAGGCTGCTGGCCGGGTTGCCATGGATTTTGTGCTAATCAGCCCCTTTCTTGCCAGGAAGAAGAGGGAAAAGGAAGGATTTGGAGCGTGCAGGAGCTGCCTCCCTACCTGAGCCACGTCCTGCCACCATCTGCCCAGTGGATGCGCCAGATAAAAGGGCCAAAATTCTCTGGTAGGGGATATTTTGGGCAATGATGTCTCTGTGGCTCAGACCTGGCCGTGCCCTCCTGCAGGGCTGCCCGGATCGTGCCCCTGTGTGGGGGCTGGCTCCCCACAACATTCCATTTTCATTTTCATTTCCCCATTTCCATTTTCAGGATGTTTCCTTGAGCAGACCAGAGGGGCAGAGCCAGGCTCTGGAGCTGAACGTGAACCAGGGGAGGTTTATATTGAACTTTGGGAACAATTTCTTCACTGAAATGGTGGTCAGACATCGGAACAGGCTGATGTCTCCATCCCTGGAGGGATTTAAAGGATGGATGTGACACTTGGGGACATGGGTTAGTGGTGAGCTTGGCAGTGCTGGGGGAATGCTTGGACTCAAGGATTTTAAAGCTCTTTTTGAACATAAAGTATTTCCAATATTCCTCCACTTCAGACTGTCTTTTCATGCTTGCAGGCTCTTAGACATGGATTAAAAAAAAACCCCAAACACAAACAACAAACAAATCCACAAATCCTTAAAATGCAGATAATATATAAAACATAAAATAGACAAACTACTCAGCAGTCTGAAAAATATAAAATACACAAATATCTCAGCAGCCTGTAACCCTCCCTCTCTCCCTGTAGCACTTCTTGGGACATCTGTTGACATGCATGGAGATTCTGTGAGAAGGATTGGAACAGACTTCCCAGGGAAGGAGCAGAGTCACCATCCCTGGATGTGCTCAAAAGCCGTGTGGATGTGACATTTGGGGACATGGGTTCGTGTTGGACTCCACGATTTCAAAGGTCTTTTCCACCCTTAATAGTTCACAGGTTCTATAATTTTACGTCCACGCTCTGGGGTAGGGCTGCACACCCCATGGGCTGTCTGGTGTGTCTGTGACCTTCAGCCACCTTGTCCCACCTCCACGGAGCCTCGGTGGCCACAGGGGATGCCCAGGGACAGCCCTGCTGCTCCCAGGGGCCGGTGCCAGCACGGGCAGGCTGGAGGGAGGAGATCCGTGCTGGCTGTCCTTGGGGACAGCAGGTGAAGGCATCTCTGGAACTGAAATAACACCTCAAGGGCCACTGTCAGAAGGTGGATCCTCATGGTGTATTTCATTCCCCAATCCCTTTTACCTCCTTTACACCAGCATTCCAAGCCTCTGTCTCCCAGGGTTCCTCCTCCTCTCCCCTCCCAAGCTTCCCCTCCAACACCCTTTTTCCTCTGAAACACCCTCGGCTGTGGGACTGAGATAAGGGTGCAGGCTTGAAAAGGATGCAGATGTTCTTCCTCCATCCTACCTTCCACCTGCCTCCAGGACCCCCTGCTCCAGCCCCTCTGGAGGGCTGCATCCATGCCTCAGAAACCTCTGCTTGAGTAAAGAGCTGCTTGCTGGCTCATGATCCGGTTTCTTTTTCCTCAGAATCCCAAACACTCAAATATTTGCCTTTCCCTGCAGCATCTCTTTGTACAGACGAGGGTGAGGGGGAGCAGAGAATGGTCTCAGCTCGTCCAGCCCATCTGTCCCCTGCATCACTGTGGATCTCTTTAAAAGAAAGGATATAATTAAAGAAATAAAAAAGAATAGCTGTGCTGGCCTTGTCCTGCTGTTGAGCCGTGTTCCTGGATATTTCTCTGCTCCATGTAGTGCTCATCCTGCACTGGCTGTATCCCAGGAAATCCCTCTTGGCTGATGTGGGGTTTGGAGCTCCACAGACATGCAAACTCCAAGCCTGAAGCAGGCAGGAACAGATTTTGGTAAGGCTGATGAGGGTTGGAGACCCCACTGCCCAAAGCTCTTCTGGGCACTACATTGCTTTTTATTCCTGGATTTCCCATAGTGGCTCTTGAGTTACTCCTCCAATTCCTCTGCTGCAACATCCAGAGCTGGTAAGGAGCCAGTCTGGGCTTAAAACCCACAAAACTGGGCTTAGGAGCCCTCTGAACCTTTTAAAACCACAGCAGAATCTCCCAACACCATCACTTCTGTGGGCAGCTGCTTTGCACTCCGAGGTTGTGGAGTTTGGGTGCCAAACCCCAAAAACCAGAGATTTGGATCACCCTGCACAAATCCATGGTTCTCCACCCAGGTTCTGCAGGATGAGGGGCAGCATCCCAAGAGCCTTTACTGGCCCATCAGCTGGGATAATCCCCGTCATGGCAAAGACCAAGCACGCTCAGGATTTCAGTGGGAAGGGATCCTGCCTCTTCAGGATCTCATTTTGGAGGATCTCATCTTCAGCCTGGGCCCCACTTTTAAGCTTCTGACATCCATGTGAGGTTTTCCCGAATGAGATTCAATTCCTGTGGATAGATCAACCCTGCGTGGATCTCTCTCATCCCTTCCTTGAATCTCCACAGTCCCTGGGGAAGATGCAGCTCTCCAGGAACTAAGAGGTTTTTAAGGTTTTTTCTCAAATCCAGACAGGGAGATGAGCTGTTTGAGCCAGGAGCAGCCATTCCCCACCACAGCACCATGGATTCATCCCTGGAACGAGGTTCTCAGTGCTCCCAGTGCTTCCCAAAGGATGCCTGAGCTGTGGGGCTGAGAAGTGGGAAGGACCAGAGCCACTCTGGTTTTTGAAACAGCAGCATCATTTCCAAGGCCAGCAGCTTCCAGACCAAGTTAAAAACAGCCCCAGGTGAATCCCCTGCTCCTCCTCCTTCTCCTCCAGCATTCCCAGTTCCCTTTTACCCCAGCAAGGGAGCCCTGAACAGGCATTTTGCTCTGAAGAGTGAAGGGAGGCAGGGAAGGGGGGTTGCAACCCCCAACAAAACTGGGTTAATTCAGCATGGAAAGGTTTTTGTCTCCCCATTTCTCCTCTGTCAGGGAAAGAGAGTGTTCCTTCCCCTCTCCATTGGTACTCCGAGCTGATTTGCTGCAGTGGGAGCTGCATAGCTGCCAGCCGGGCTGGGAAGCACATTTGTGTGGTGATGCAGTCAGAAATTCGGGTCTCCAAATCAATTACTGACCTTCTGCTGCTCCAGAAATTGCTCAGGATGGATTTGCATGCTGGGTATGGGGAGAGGGAGAGGCTCAGCTTCGTTTTCTGCTTCTCTGCTTCTCCAGCTGCCTCACAGGCAGAGCTGTGGTTTATTTTTTGGATCTGATTAATTGCGCCTTGTAGAATTTTCCCGCTTGTCCTGATTTCCTTTCTCCTGGTATCACTTTGGATTGCTGATGCACAGGCTGCTGTTGGTGTGTTTGGGTTTTTTTTTCCTATGACACTTAAGATTGATGCTGATTGTGTATCCTGCTGTCACCCAGCCCCTCTTCCCCCCAAACAACTCTGGAATCTCCTCATCCCGGCCAGATTCCAAGGACGAGTGAACCTCAGAGATGTCACATTCCCACAAATGTTCCTCAAGTGCTTTTCCATCAGTGCACTTATCCAGAGGAGACTGAGAGGGTTGGGTTGTTCAGCCTGGAGAGGAGAAGGCTTCAGGGAAAACTCAGAGCCCCTTCCAGTGAGGCTGAAGGAGAGCTGGGGAGGGATTTGGGACAAGGGTCTGGAGGTACAGGACACAGGGAATGGGTTAAAACTGGAAAAGGGGGAATTTGGGTAGGATATGGGGAAGAAATTCTTCTCTGTGAAGGTGGGGAGGCCCTGGCACAGGGTGCCCAGAGAAGCTGTGGCTGCCCCTGGATCCCTGGAAGTGTCCAAGGCCAGGCTGGATGGGGCTTGGGGCAGCCTGGGATGGTGGAAGGTGTCCCTGCCCATGGCAGGGGGTTATATAGAGATAATATTTATTTTCCCTTCCTACCCAAAGGATTCCATATTCCAGGATCTAACACAGGCTGGACACATCCACACCGGTGAAATGACCAGTTCCAGGACTTGTCCCCTGGCCCAAGATGCCTCTGGCTGTGTCAAGTGGCCATAAAGGAGCTGAGACATGACAACTACAGACCCATCTTTCCCCAAATCCTGGGGAGCAAGGGATGAAACCCTCAGGGAATCCGTTTAAAATCAGCAACACAAATTGTCACAGCACCATCAGAAAACAAAAGGATGTTGGGGAAAGAGTGAGAAATAGCAGCAAGGCCATGAATGAGCGCTCAAGGCCAGGCTGGGGTGTCCTCTCTGGCACCCCTAACTCCAGGGATGAGGATGTTAAGGAAGCACTGGAGGATGGGCCTGCTGATGAACTCCTGTCCATGCATTAGCAAGCTCTCCCTACAAAGCATCTCTCTGGCCAGGGTGGGCTCAGGGGGCCGTGCTGTGACCCTGGAGAGGTCTCCTACACCCACTCCTGCCTTGGATCCTCACAGTCTCTCTTGTGGCCGATGCTCCTTCGCCCAAACTGCTGGGGAATCGCATCCTGAGAGGCCACACTCGGGAAGCAGGGAGGCAAAGACGTCTCACAGAGCCCAGAAATCCTGCAGGGAGAGAGACCTTGGAAAACTGAGGGAGCTGGGATCTCAAGGGGAGCAGAATTTTCCCCCGGGAGCATCATTCCAGCTCTGCCTGAGTCAGGTGCTCGCGGAGCTGGGAGAGCGGCGCTCGGTGCTCGCTGAGCTGTGAACAGGCTGAGCCTGGTGTCGTTTGTCTCAATGAGCTGGTTATTAATCCTTGCAGCCAGGAAGGGATGATTTTGCATCTCCTCGGCAGCACTGTGTGCTGGCAGGAGAGGAAAAGCCAGGAATGTTGGCTCTTCCCTCATTTAGAGAGGGCCTGGACACGCAGCCACAGCCAGAGGCTGCTCAACCATCCATGGGGACACTGAGGAAGCAGCTGAAGGGATGGGGTCACTGCCAACACTCAGATCTTCCTAAATGAGAGGGGTGAAGTCTGATCTTTTCAGGGGAAAATAAACCAAAACAACTACCCAGCCAGCAAGGAAATACAAGCCTGTGCTCCCTCAGAAACCCCTACACACACAAACAAACCTGCCCACGCTCACAGAGTCGGATAAATAAATAAATACAGGGAGGTTCCTGCAGTTCTCCGAGGGTTTTGCACTCAGCTCACTGACAGAGATCAGAGCATCCCCTGGATAATATCAGTGCTTGGATCACACTCTCAGCAGGCACTGAGGGGGCTCAGTGCTCCCTTCCCCAGACAAAATATCAGCCTTGGAGGACTCTGGGATTTGATTATTTCTGTTTCTTTTAAATCCTCGCCTTCTTTTCCTGGTTGCTTGGAGCTTATAGGAGGGGGAGGGTGGTGGGAAATGCTGTCATCAGGTGAATGTCAGTGTTTGCAGGGTGGATTCAGAGGAGAGGGGAAAGTAAAGCAGGAATAAAAGCACAAAAGGATCCCCAAATCTCTGTGTTCACTCCATTCCCATCCCTCTGTGGTGGGGAATCCTGTGCAGGGAATCTCATCAGTGCTGCTGCACCCAGAGCTCAAACTGAGTGAACTGGTGGAGCTCAAAAGCTCCATTGTAGTTATTCAGATTCTCCCCCTGCACTGAAATATCCCCCCTGCAACTGTTGCTTTAGGGAGTTTCACAGAGCCATAGAATGGTTTGGGTTGGAAGGGACCTTAAAGCTCCCCCAGTGCCACAGGCAGGAACACCTCCCACTATCCCAGGCTGATCCAAGCCCTGTCCAGCCTGGCCTTGGACACTTCCAGGGATCCAGGGCCAGCCACAGCTTCTCTGGGCACCCTGTGCCAGGGCCTGACCTTCCTCACAGCCAACAATTCCTTCCCAATATCCCATCCATCCCTGCCCTCTGGCAGTGGGAAGCCATTCCCTGTGTCCTGTCCCTCCATCCCTTGTCCCCAGTCCCTCTCCATTGTCCCCAGTCCCTCTCCAGCTCTCCTGGAGCCCCTTTAGGCCCTGCAAGGGGCTCTGAGCTCTCCCTGGAGCCCCCTTGAAGTGAACACCCCCCATTGGTATCTACAAGGACACTTCTGGCATCACCTGAGTCAGCTCAGACAAAGTGCTGAGCCCCAAGCAGACCAGGAAAAAGCAGAAGTGGCCAGTGCCAAAAGCAGAGCGAGGAGGAGGAACCTATGACACAACATTTTCATGGATCAGTTTCCAGCTGATGGAAATGGGGAGGAGATGGGGGCAGGACATCCATTTCCAGAGAAAGGTCTGATGAGGCCTCTCTGCCTGCAGAGGTGAAGGAAGGCAGAGGATTCCCTGGAAGTGTTTCTGCATCCCCAGCAACCATTGGAAAATGGCCTCTGATCAGGGAAAAAGGCAAAGAATCTCCATGAAATGGGTGAATCTTTACAGAGCTCACATCTGTGTCCCACAGCTCCGAGGCTGCTTTTCCCCATTCACACAAGACTCCAAGATATTCCCATAACCCTTATCTTTTCTGCTTAAGTCCCCTTTACCTCCCAGGTGCAATTTTTCACTGCTTTCTCTCCTTTGACTCTGTCTGCTCCCCATCCTCACTCTCCTGGCTGTGGATACCCCCTGTTCTGGCCTTGTTTGGGATGTTCCAGATGCTGAGCAAGAGGGAAGAGGCACATAATGGCTGCTGGATCCATGCTTTAAAGGATATAAACAATCTCAGGCATTGCCATCCCTGCCCTCCCTTCAGTGCCAAACATCTCCTGTCCTTCAGCCAGCAACCAGTTTTACTTAAAACCTTCAAAAACCACCTCTCTTTGGGAGCTGCACCCCCAGATCAGACGTGGCTGTGATTTGTCATCAATTTCAGGTGACGAAAATCGCAGGCAAGCAAGTGACAAAGGTCTGCAGGTTATGAGGGCCCTTTCCTTTAGAAACTCCCCAAAAATGGTGTCTCAGAGCCTTGACTTGGCTGCTGGCTCTGGTGTGGTTTCATTTCCTCCCAATGTTGCTGTGTAAACACCAATCAGTCCAAATTATTCAAATCACAACTGTCGAGCATGGAAGTGGCGTTAATGAGGAAAAACAGGGAGCAGATTGGTGGAGCAGAACGTGTCCTTTGGCTGGAGGCTGGTGGCTCCCATCCAGAGCATGAAACTCACACCCCTCCCTCTGCCACAGGCCTTGGGAATCATCCCTGCTGGGAGAGAGCCCTGCCACAGCTTGTCCAGCCCCAGGGTGCCTGGATGGCCAAACTCCAGGGGATATTTCCCACCCAGAATATGAGTCCCTTGGGGTCTGACTCCAACGTGTTTTGGGTTGGAAATGATCTTAAAGCCCATCTTGTTCCACCCCCTGCCATGGGCAGGGACATCTCCCACTATCCCAGATTGATCCAAGTCCTGTCCACCCTGGCCTTGGACATTTCCAGGGATCCAGGGGCAGCCACAGCTTCTCTGGGCACCCTGTGCCAGGGCCTGCCCACCCTCACAGGGAACAATTCCTTCCCAATATCTCATCCATCCCTGCCCTCTGGCAGTGGGAAGCCATTCCCTGTGTCCTGCCCCTCCATCCCTTGTCCCCAGTCCCTCTCCAGCTCTCCTGGAGCCCCTTTAGGGCCTGGAAGGGGCTCTGAGCTCTCCCTGGATCCTTCTCTTCTCCAGGCTGGACACCCCCAGCTCTCTCAGGACAAGCCTCCAAAGCCCAGGACTGTGATGAGGATGGAAATGGTTGTTTCCCAACCCAATCCAGGAGTACCACGGCTGCAGAGCTGAACAAATATTATTAATAAATATTCATCACTGCCCCTGCCTGGCTCAGTGTTGGACCAGGGAAACTATGCCAGGCATGGGGAACAGGCATCCATCCTACCCCAAAACCTTACACAACATGGCCAGGCCCTTCTTCATCCTCCTCCATGGCCTTGCAGGTGTTTAAAACACACCTGGACATGGCCCTCAGTGACCTGATTTAATTAGACCTACACTGATCAAGGCATGGAATGAGATGAGCTCCATTAATTCCTTCCAGACCGAATTATCCACAATTTTAAATTGCTGCTGTGGTTTGTATTAATAAAATAACTACTGCCAGCCACCAGGCCTGGAGCAAACTCCCACCCTGGGGGCTACGTCTGGTGGTTGGTTTCTTTTCTTAAGATAAACTTTTCCAGATCATTTTTGAACATCAGTGACAGCAATACCTTGAATAAATGGGAACCACTCACCCAGAAGGGTCCTGGCAAAGCCTTGAAGGAGGCTCTTCAAAGGTTCATGGGATCTCCTGGGAACTGCTCAGATTCAGCAAAACTGGAGCAATTCTCATATTGGAGCAATTTTCCAAAAGCAAAGCAGGAGTTACAGGTGGAAAGGGTAAAGTGAATTCTGAGGAGGGGCAAATTCACATCTTTCCATGGAAAACTCTTGGTCTGTGGAGAAAGCCAGACAGAAATCACCTGCATCCCTTTCTGCATCCCACTGCAGCATGAAATAAAGCAGGAAACCATCAAGTCAGCCCTTGAAGCTGATGTTTAAACTACCTGGAAAATATCCCAGATGTGAAACACTTGGAGCTGCTACAATAGGGTCAGAATAAGAGAAATTACATTTGGGAAAGGAAGGAATGAACCCATCAATCTCCAGCCTTGGGAAGA